GAGCGAGAGAGAGAGAGAGAGAGAGAGAGAGAGAGAGAGAGAGAGAGAGAGAGAGAGGTTTAAAAAATCTTTAATCAATCAAAAGATTGCACACTTGGCACAACAATATAAAAGATTTTCAACAATATTCACCAAATAAATGATAAAGAGTCATCTTCAGAAAACACAAATGAACCGCTATTTACACACCATTTATACATGAATTCAACCATGTTTCCTGTAGTTTTAAAAAATACATATTCTACTCTTATTCTTGATTTGACTAATGCTGTAAACAGACTAAGAACTTTAACAATTCGTCCTTCAAGAGCAAGTCTGCAAGTCTTCCAAATAGCGAACTTTGCTTGCCCAATTATAAAACTGGCAACAGTACATCGTTCCTTGTTTACTTTAGAATACCTACAGCCATAAATAAAAAGTATTTTGTTAAAATCAAAGCCCAATCCTTCAATAATCCTTTCCAGCAATGCAAAAAGTGGCACCAACCTTGAACATTCAATGAAAACATGAAAAACCGTTTCATGACTATTACAGAAATAGCAAAACATTCAAGTTAAATTTGGAAACAAAAACATTTGTGGCTAGCACACAATGCAATATTCTCCATTGTAAATCACCTGAACGTTTTGGATCAACAAAAACCTTCTGTAGTCTTTGTAATAGAACTTTTGGGGGGGTCAATAACAGTCAAACGATGCCATAGCATTGATGTTGCTAGATTGTCTACAACAAGAACCCTCCCTCTATAAGATATTTTAGGAAGGATCCATCTCCATTTCTGTAAGCGCCCAGCCACCTTTTCATAGAGGCCTTCCCAATTTTTTTCCATGTATTGCTCTGTTCCAAAGAAAACCCCCAGCACTTTAATTAAATGTGCTCTGTGCAGTAGTGACATTGACAGACATAAAATGTCTGACAAAGGAGTGGGAGTAATGCAACCATTAAAAATTTTTTCTCTAACACTTCTTTGTACATAAATTCTGTCAAGCCTTGCTGCAGAAACCATATTAGAATTTACTTTTATCCATGTGTACTGTTTTACATCAGGAAAAGCTTCTCTCCAAACATCTACAAGATCATAATACATTATCAAATTTTTTTTTAAAACATCTGCTGACGGACTGTGAGGTTCTTCATGATTCCTATCTAATGTGTGATCTAAAGTGCAATTAAAATCTCCGGCCAATACAATAATCCTACCCTGTGGAACACTGCTTAAAGCTGTATGAAGTTTTTCAAAGAAAAGCTTACGTTCTGTCCCAATATTTGGGGCATAT